GGTGTAGAGATGATGGATGGATGATCGAACAGGACACTGTTTCGAAGGAAAAACAATGATACAGAAAATCCCACCCTGCAGGTTGACAGGATGGGTTTATAGGTTTGTTGCAGATCTTTCTGGAACCTCCGGACTCGGACCACCTGGTTCACCTGTCCGCCTGAAGAATCCCCACTGATCGCTGCTCTATTGACTTCTGCTCGCTCCTTCCCAGCCTCCATCTGCTTTTTCTTTAGCCTGTAGATTTGCCTGCGATGTTTCCACTCTGCTCGGTGTGTGTGTTTTCCTCCGTATATTCCTCGCAGTTGTTGCAGTTCTCCGTTTTGGTTCTGCATGTTTGTCACTTCTCTCTTGTGAGTTTCTGTGTTCCTGGCTTTCTGTGGTTCTGTTTCCCAAGCTGACCTACTTTCATTCCCCCCACTGCAGCCCCCTGGGCTGTTGGGTTATGTGTTCTTAAATTCACGTGTATTAGCACAAAATAAATCATGTAGTAAATAAACACTCGGTGGTCGGTCTCCTCATCCTCACTACTGTCTGCATCTGGGTCCTACGTAAAGTTTTGCTCATTCAAATCTTGGGAAATCAATTTTGTAGACTTGCTCTTGGACTGGACTCTAACGTCACGCCTTGTCACAACTCGACTTTCTGATGGATTAACCACGACAAAAGGAGAAACAGGGAGAAAACTAAGAAAAAAACAACTGAAACTTTACAAGCTCACAGGAAACAGCAGTTATGTCACGATACTCTGCCGGTTATATCAGAAAGAGACAAACAATGGAGCTGTAACCACACACAAGATGTTTGTCAGCCATTATTAATTCCTACTGACTCATCAGTGACTCCACATTGTGGTAGCTACTCTCTTTCCAGTTTTATGAATTGATCTAGATCGCATTCGTGCTGAAACCCCTCGCCTCATATCACCGATTGACGAGTTTTGTATCGACCTACTTCACATGTTTTCTGAATTTTAACTGAAACGACAGCCAGCTAAAAGGTTGCGCGAAGGTGTTCTTTCAACATCAGTCTTCAAAAAGCATGCTGCTAGCATTCGTGTAGGTGTATCTTCTAGATTAATCAAGAATTCAAGAAGGTTGTTTCCATCTGCTGCGAGTCCAAAGGTTCTGCGCTCAAGTTCTGGCAGACGAAACGACACGAAGAGTTTCCGACGGCGAAACCACACCTATTCTCCTGGAAGAAAAACAAGCGCAGTTAAAGGTTAATAAACATGCTAAAAATACCCATGAAACTGTATTTAATCACAGAAAATACTATTCGGTTTCGTAGAAAACATAATGGAGCAGACTGCTCCGTTGCGCTGATGTTGCCGAAACAAATTAAATCCATATTTTTTTCCCTCAAATCAAATGAACCCACGTATTTACTGTTTTGTTCTAGTTTTAAATGTTGATATAGAAATGTGATGAACTTTCAGACATGATGGCAGAAAAAGTGAAAAACCACATGAGCTCGTATCGGAGAGGTTTTCTTTGATTTCGCTGTTATCTTGTCGTGCATCTTGTTTTAATACAACCTCACAGTTTATCCCAACATGTACAGTTTAAAACAGTTTTAAGCAAACAGACAGCGCAGGACACAGGACTGATGGAAATGCTGAGTTTGGAAACAAGCAAACAAATGAAATGCTGAAGTCTAAGAGATCCCGACTACAAACGAAGATCACAAACAAGTGTGCAGAACAGCCGACATTAGACTTTCTGTCGATTCAAAAATCCTGGAACGGATCATTTGTAGCCAGAATGATAAATAAACTTTGACTTTTGTGTTATTTTCCTCCTGCACATGCTTTCTGTTGTCATCAGGGGGTATTTTCAGTTTAGAATGCACTGCAGTAGATTGTAAACCTGGGTTTTCCACGTGAGTGACTGTGACCATTCACGCTGAGAGCGCGTGGGCTTCCTCTATAAATGTGGCGACGCCGGGTCGGCGTGCTTCTGTCTCAGTCACTGTAGTGTTTCACACAGGAAGCACTTGGTGGCATTTTTCAGCTCTGAAACACACAACATGACTTTACTCAAGGTGTTCTTGCTTTTTTGGATGTTTAATGAAGTCATTCTCGAGTCGGATGCAAGAATACCTTGTCCTAAAGGTAAAGTATGACTTCCTTGTGCTCCCCGTTCTGTCCAGTCCTGTTCATGTGTTTTAAGTATGTCTCACTGAACCTTGTTTTCTTGTGACACTGTGGAACAAATAAAGGTCATAAAGTATCCCAACATGGCAACACTTGTGTGTCCTGCAATCCAGGATCTTACATGGATAAAGAAAATGATTCTAAATATTGCAACCCATGTACACCATGTTATCAGAGTAAGTGCTGAAGTTTTGGTAAGATGCACAAAAATCTGGGTTCTTCTGTCTAAACCTCACTTTTCAACATACATGGATGGTTTTCAAGCTTCGACTTGTCGATAACGAGTCTTGTTTTTGCAGATTCTGGGAGCAGAGTCGAGCAGGAATGCACTAAAGTGTCAGACACTAAATGCGAGTGCCGCGAGGGATTTGTTCCCTTGGAGGACGATAGATCCATCTGCAAATGCAAAAATGGCTTTGAACTAAAACAAGGAGGTAAAGAGCGAATATTTTACCACTTGTCATGTATGTCGAAGAAGTTGTCCATTTAATAAATGTGCCTTTTCCCTGCCAGTGTGCTCAGAATGTGAGGAGGGACATTTCAGCCCAAGTCCCAACACACCCTGCAAAAAATGGAAAGAGTATGGCCACTGTGTTCTTGTGTTTCAGCACTCTCCTCATGCACTGTCTGTGCTGCTGTTAACAGCTTCATCCTTTGTCTTCCATTCCAGCTGTAAATCAACAGGAGTGAAAACTAAAGGAACCAAGACCTCAGATGTCACCTGTAACGACGTGGTGAAGAGCAACTCTGCGACCGCTCCACCTCACACATCCAAAAACTTTTATTCTCTCCTAAGCTCGACAACCCAACGTCCACCTGAGGGGGCCCAAACTCTCCAAATGCAAACCGCCGTCGCCGCCATCATCACAGCTGCTTCACCGCCAGCCGCTCTGACGGGAAAAGCACTTCCTCCTAACCCTTCCAGTGCAGGCAGCCACATTGGTAAAACAGCCGCCGTCTCTGTCGACACGACGTCGGATTGGAAAAGGCGTCATTAATAACTCGTGGCTCATGTCTCTTGTCTCTCCAGGTATCGCCCTCCTCATGGTTGGAATTATCGGGTTGCTCGTGCTGACGGTCATGACCTGCAAGCTGCACATCACACCTTGCTGGCAGAAGAAAACAACAGTGCCAAGTATGTGCAAGTAAACTGATTAGCGTTACATAAAAAAAAAAAAAAAAAGCTCTGGGAGTCTTACTGAGAGTCAGATAAGTGGAGCTACAGCCACTTGCTTTGGACAGAGCCAGGCTAGCGTTTCCCCTCTGTTTCAAGTCTCTATGCTAAGCTAAGCTAACCAGCAGTAGCTTTACAGTTCCTGCACAGGTTTAAAAGACTCTGGACAAAGACGCGATGAAGCATTTTGCCCAAAAATTAAACTCTGTAAACATATTAAAGTGAAAAACATGTTTTCCCATTTTCATAGGGAATGCATGAAGAGTTCAGTTTGCAGAAACAGAAAACTCCGTCTTCACAAACCTTCAGAAAACCCACGTCTCCATCGTCTACCTGAGACAACATCAGTCAAACTTAAGTTATCTCTGTTTTTGTCATTTCTACTGAGTCAAATCCACTCAGCTTCAGTTTGATTGATTTTGTCTCAAGCAAACAACAAAAGAACAAGTTTTCTGAAAATCTAAAAAAAAAAAAAATGGAGTTATCTGTTTTTGCAAATGAACTCTTCGTATATTTAATTTCTTACGTAAGATTCACAAATGTTCGCTGTGTTAAATTTGTACCATTTAGCAAACGTGCCCATTGTCCTTTAAAATGTCAAAAGGCTGCAGTGAGCGTTAGTCGTGGCTGTCGAATATTTCTATTCAATTAACTACGTTCCACTTTCTGGTTGCAGAGCAGGACTCGCTGTGCGGGAGGCCGGTTGAGGAGAGCGGCGACGACAGCTCGTCCTCCCTCAAACTGAATCCCGGAGAGCCCTGAGACCAAACCGTCCTCCTGTCTGTTCACTGATGCTGTGAGTTATGTGACGAGATAATCGTCGTGCGAGTAATTTCAAACTGATTGCTAACCGTTTTCCTTAGACATCTGAGAAGGACTTCTCTGTATTCTAACAGGAAAGTTCTCAACCTGTGATTATGGTCAATATTTGACTTGTGTTCGTTCTGTTTTTGCAGACGCTCGGGTGAATTATCTGAAAAAATTATCATACCTCACTTTTCGTTTTCTAACTGTGAAACAATTTAAGTAGTAAAAAAATGAGCTTTTACTATTTAAGGTGTTGTACTTTCTAGTAATAATAGTATAATATTTTACACAAAAAGTTACTCTCTCTCTGTAGTTGTGGTATTTATTTGGATCTTTTTGTACAATGAACTGAGAAGTCGCGCCACTCGATGCTTTGCTAAAATGCACACTTACGTCTAAATTTGTGCTGATCTCAATAAGGATTGACGTGGCCTGTGACAAGTCTGAGAAAAATGCGGTAAAACAGCAAAGGTTAACACCACTGACTCAGGTTATTACAAACCGCCAGAGACTTTCTTTCTTCGTGCAGCTTTTCGGTCTCCATTGCTTTGTTTACTCGGCTCTGTTCCACCGGTAGCAGGTCTGAAGATGTTTTCGGTGGTGTGTGTGGGGTCGGGGGAGTTCCTGTGAGGATTTAAATGTGCCTGCTTTTTTTTTTTTTTTTTCCACTGACAGATTCCTCCTCTCATGTTTTCATGTTGGCCTTTGGAAAGACTGATGTTGTAAATGTGAGGACTTTCATGTTGTTTATGCCTCACGGGGGATGTTTTCTCACATCGGTACTGTCAGAGGAGTTATGAAAGTCTGCCCGCGTTGCTTTTCACATCACGCTATATGCAACCTTAAATCACAAACAGCCTGTTTTTGTGGCTTGTGGAAGAAACAGAAGATAAACGAGTGAATGAGCAGTGATGGAGAAAGTGCAGCGACATTAGAAATAGTGTGGTAAAGGTTAGAATCCTGGATTTAGTCATCATTTATTACTTTTCAGTCATTCCAATTCCTTTAAAGGCTATCGACGTAAAAACACCAAAGAATTCACAGAAAAAAGTCCTTGTACATGTTCTGCACAAAATGACTAATGTATCTGGTATTATTTATACAGATGCTACTACATCTTCTTTCCCCTTATTTTACTGTTCTAGCTGGTCAAAGTTCTTGTACAACTCAACTAATGAATATGAGTGTTTGTTACAGAAAGTGTGCAGACTGGAAACAGTCCCTGCAGAAGCTTTCTGTAAATGTCTGATCCAGGAAGTCGGTGTGTGGCTTCAAAGAAATGAACCAAACCTTCTCAGCGTTTTGTGGAAATAGCATCTTACTGGGAAGCGAAGCAGCAATTGTACATACACACATCTGTAGACATTTTTTTAGACTTCCGTGTGTATTTCTGTTTGTGCTAATTCTGCTCGTTGTTTTTTTTTTCTGTCTTGTGGTTGCCTGACTGACAACTATGATTGCAGCAAAGTGAAAACGTGCTCATTGTTGTGTTTCTTTGTTTCAGAAGATGTCAGATTGAATAAAAGTTTTGTTTGGTGTGAATGTTTGTCTTTATGCAAACAGTTATTTTGCATTTATCCTCTGTCTTCTCTTAACGGGTATTTTTCTGGTGACGGGTGCAGAAAAACCCGTTTACTTTGCTTCTCGGTTTTGAAAGAGTTTCTCCACTTATTAGCCCCGTAGCGCTTATAATGGATATTAATGTGATAAACAGAGACGTACTGACTTGTTTGTTCCATGCATTCGTTTTTTCTCGCCAACGCCTGCCACCTACATGCGCCACAGTGCAACCTGACAATTCAGCCTCAGACTGTGGTTTGTTTTGTTCACTTGTATGTAAAATGTGAACGTAAAAATACTCCACTGGAAGTAGAAATCACAACAATAAGATCTTACATAAAACACAGAACAAGTGCTTTGGTTCCTGTGTCTGACACATATCAGATTGTTGTGGAACCATACAGATCTTAACAGCAGAGGTGGAGCTAATTTAAGCTATTTTTAATTCCCTTTTACAAACAGGAACAATAGATAAACCGAAGGGGGCGGCAGATGATTATTGGAGGAGAACAAAAGAAAAATCAAAGTTCCTAGATACACATCTGTTTTCATATTATTTTTGTAAACCTTGTCTCTAATCTGTGGTGTCTGGTGACATTTGAACATCCACTGAAAGGAAACCATGTGAGAGGTGTAGAGACGAGGCAGTGACGTCAGTATTAGCTGAAGCTGTTTCTGACTCACAGACATGTAAATTTGACTGCAGACTCTTTTTTTTTGGAAACCATTAGTCGAGTATTTAACCATGTGTGCTATTTTCAAACCGGATGATATTTTCTGTTGAGTAAAATGTGTATCTTTTACTCTGATATGTGATGTGAGTAAAGTGGAAATACTCAAGTAAAGTACAAGTACCTCAGAATTGCAGTTAGGTACAGTAAATGTGGTTGGTTGGTTTCCACTCCTGGTGATGTTAACAGCCAGTCGCCTTCAGCAGAGATGAGGAACAAACTGAAGAGCCGGTTCAGCTCCACAGCCTCGGATGTTTTTTGATTTTAAACTTTGAGCGACTAAACATCCATCCATCATCTCTACACCCTCACGAGGGTCACTGGAGTCTATCCCAGCTGACTCAGGGTGAAGGCAGGTTCACCTGGACAGGTAACCAGCCTATCACAGGGCTACACTTAGAGACAGACAACCAAGCACACTCACATTCACACCTACGGACAAGCTAGACTGTGTGGGAGGAATCTGGAGAGAACCCGCTGCAGGGTGCAAGAAAAACATCCCACTCAGCAAAATTATGTCAAACAGGAAGCGTAGAGGGCCACTTTATGGGTTGGTGGCCGCAGAGGGTCGGCGGTTAGCACCGTCGTCTCACAGCTAGAAGATCCCCAGTTCATCCTGGTGAGGACGCCCGGGATTTTTCTGAGTTTGCATGTTCTCTCCGTGCAGCATGAGTTCTCTCTGAGTGACTAAACAGGCTTCAATTGTATTACCCAAGACCTGCAAACACAAAATCACTGGACTTCCCCTTTGAGAAAAGCGAAAAACAAAAACTTCCAAGAGGTGCGAGAACAATACTTCTGTGATTTCTTTAGTGTCGGGTTAGAAATCACACCTTTTGTACTCAAATGTCACACCTTAACCTTCAGTGTGCTGTTACATTATCGTCGTTTTGAACGTGCGAGCGTCAGCGTTGGAGCTCCCCACAGTCACCACACCGTGGGCGGCACCTCCGTGGCAGAGTCAGCACGGCCCTTTGTGGCGACGCGATTACGCTTCGCTCTGACGTGGAGCTCTACGTGTGCACACGTGGTGTCCACGGCGATGTCACACCGCGGAGGAGGTGTCATACATGTGTGGTCATGCTTGTGTGTGAGAGACGGCGAGGAAAGGAAATGTTTTGGTGGTACAGTCGTTCTACATGAGATTAAGATCAGTGCCCATTCAGCAGAGGGTGCCACCGGAACACTCCGGCTCATGACTTGGCGTTGCTGTGCATCGAGCTGCCATCTGAGAGCACCGGTTCTACAAAGTCAAACACATGCACTGATGAAAACCACAGCAAACGCAAGCCTCCACCATCGAAAAAAAATTACAGGACCGCAAGTGTTAATCATCCGATTTCACAATGAGTCAAGTCATCTGGTGGGCTCGACTCTCTGATGTTTCACTGGAGCCCACAACACTGTACGACAGCAACGGCGAGGATGGAAACAGGGGCTGATCTTCTGTACGTTATTTAACGCTTAGTTAATTAATGGTGTCAGAGAAGGACTCCTGCAGCGAGGTGATGTTTCCAGATTGCTTATTTTGTGCTGTTAACTCAAAGGTAAAGGAAAGTAAGGAAAACAACAACCAACCAGACATGAATAACTGTTTTTCAGACGTACTGCGGGTTCATTTTTGGTCTTTCATCAGGGAAAGCAGCACATCGTGTCAACAAACGTCTTGCTTTTTCCATCAGTGACAAAGTGAAAAAGGTTTTATCACCTACAGGAAGCTGACAGCAGTAATTCTTTGCATTTTATCTTGCAGTTGTTTTTCTGAAGCTGCATATTTAATCACCCTGCAAAAATTCACACGCTTGCTCTGCTGCACGAGTCGGTGCCAACCTCTACAAACCAGCTCCAAGCTTCATTTCATATTTTTTATACTAGCTTTCAGTGATGCTCTATTAAATGCTCACAACACGGGGACTCCTGTGATCTATGAATGACTCATATTTCATCTTTATTTCTCATCCACATTTGCACTACTGGTCTTAGTGCTCTTTTCAGATGCTACTAAAAGGTCAAGAAAGCCCTCCTCAGTGGTGGTCTTTAGGCTGACAGCTTGTAAGAAGGTCAGTTTGCATGTATTGTTGAGATTTGGAGTTTTTTCAGGAGCCAAATTGAGCCCTATTCTGAGTATCGTCACTGCTTCTGCTGCTGGTTTCCTGATGCGAAGTCCACGACGTGACTGAATGACAACAGACGCACTCGGTCGTGCTGTTTTCGAGTCAGTCACTTGGTTGTCAGGACTATAACTCCTTCCACTTCTTCTGTACATGCTTGACCACTACTAGCGGTTCTGACACAGGTGCAGAAATCAGGATGTGAATATGAACCACTTACATGTAGAGGCTGCACTTAGGGACTGTTCTTTATTGAATCCGGCGCCGAGATGCCGTTGCTGGGCTACCGGAGGCCACAGAACTGAAACTTGTGACTCGTTGCAGGTTTTCTCGGTCGCTTTTTCTAGAAATTCATCCTCAGCATTTGCAAAGCAGAAAGCGCATTTCTCAAAACAACTCGTACGAACAGCGAAACTCCACGGATTACCTGCAAAAGGCAAAAACAATCCTCAGTTCATCCCTCAAAAGTAAAAATCTGATTTGATCAGTGTGTACGGAGAAGACAGACTGTCTCGTCATGTTGTCAGTATAACCGTGAACTCTGGAGGGATGTTCTGGTGCAAACTATGGCTAAAGTTTAATGACGTTTATTGCAAATTGTGAGTTACACCTCAGTGTGTGTGTGAGACTGATTGCAAGAGACCGGACAAGAGTCACTTTTACTGTTTTTGCTGTAATGTGTTGACAGATCGTGTCACTGCGGTACAGAAAGGAAAAGACAGAACTGCATAGCACAGAGACAAAAACTAAAGTAGAAATGTGAATGTAGGCCAGTCTCCTGAGGGAAAACGGTGCATGCAGTGCTGGAGGACGTACAGTGCAGTCGTCCTGCCAGTCGATGGTTCATAAGATGCACCTTTGAACTATTTTAGAGAACTGGTGGATCTGTGTGATGCTGCACACATTTCCCTTCATTAGAGACAGTCAGCATTAGCCTGGGAGCAACTTAGCAATTCAGGACAGATTTAGAAAAAACTGAAATGTATAGAAACATGCTCGACATATTCTGACAACTCGTTCAACCGTCCTGCATGTAAAGAATTAACGTCTAAATGTTATGAGACGATTCAACAGAGCGCCATCATCATACATTCTGATCAACACGACAGAAGCAGCTGATCATGTAGGAAACAGCAGAGAATCAGTCATTTGCATGGACGTATCAAAGCATTTAGAGCTCGTTCAGAGAAACGAGAAGCTGCACGAGCGACACGATGACGTGAAGATTGGTCGGGTAGTTATGAGAAGTTCAATTCAAAGTGAGAAACAGTGAGAAGAACCGGAAACTATACCGACAGATATATGTAAAACTAGTGCAAGGAAAAAGAGCTAAATATAAACAGGATCAAAATAACAGTGTCAGAATATAGATGAAAAATACTTGATGAATGAATTTCAATTCAACAGATGTGAAAGCACTGAGCGGCAATGACTGAAATATTGCACAGATTAAAAAAAAAGAAGAAAAAAACAGTCCGGGGACGTGTGGGTGTTCTTAAAACAGATGCATCTCACAACCAAGAAAAAAAACCTGTTGAAGTCTCGACATTAGAAGCAACACAGAGCCGAGAAAACGAATACGGGGCTGCCTGGTACATTGTCTAACACTTTGAAAGCTAAGCTAGTTTGCTAACAGAAATAATATTGTTTGATGAACTTTAAGACCAGAGAGAGAAACTATTTTGAATACAAGAACATTAAAAAGAGACCAGAACAGAAGGAATAAATGTGTTCTTGTTGCACATTTGACTCTTCTAACATTTAAGATGCCTGCCGTTGTTTCTGGGGAATTACACATATAGCTCACAGTGGTTGAGTGGTTTCACCGGGTTGTTATTATTACACCTCTCTGATACATAAGCCTGTGACAGGAACATCTTCTGGTTAGTGGGGATTTAACCAATTCAACATCAACTGCTAAGGACTCAGGATCCTGTTAAGTAGAACTGAAATAGTCATGAATATTATTCCTCCAGTGGCAGGAAGAGATTACATAAACATGAAACAGCATCTTCAACACACGCTAGTCAGATGAGTGAACACAACATTCACATGGTAAAGAAGTTCAGCTGCAGTGATATTAACTCGTCTCTCAGTGGTCTCGCTCTTCCTGCAGGCTCACATGATGCGTCTGTGAGTAAACCACACTCGGGCTGACGTCAGCAGGCTGCCGATATAAAACCCTGCAGACACATGCAGGGGGCCGGTCACAATGGTTTGGCAGAAGCTTGCCCTGGCTGTGTGCCTGCTGGCTGTTTGGACTGTAGGACACGCGAGAGACTGTGGCGATGGACAGATTGAGATCAGTGGACAGTGCTGTAACACGTGTCCCCCAGGTAAAGGCACTTAATTCAGCTTTAAATGCTTTGCTAATCTTTATGTCAGTCTGTTTGATCACTGTTTAGGAAATAGGACCAACGGTTGCATGAAAGGTACTGAGTCAGTGTTTCCGAAGCCTTTTATTTGTTCCTTTATGTTTGAAGGCACCTATATGGAGAAGTTCTGCTCCGACAGACTGCAGTCCGTCTGCAGTCCTTGTCCAACGGGGCATTTCTCCGATCAACACCACACTTTCGACAGGTGTGAGCCGTGCCGGGTCTGCCAACAAGGTAAAGCCTGGCAGAGACGTGGACAATGTCACCGAACATTAAAAGAGCAGTATGTTGTTATGACGTGGAATTCCCCCCGTTTGCATTCTTGTCCGTGCTACAGAAAACTCTGAGAAATGTACAGCGACCACAGATGCGACCTGCTCTTGCCGCTCTGGTTTCCTGTGTTCCGACAGCATCTGTTCCAGTTGTGAGGAAGACAAATGCGTCACGGGGGAGGAACGGAAAAGGATAGGTGAGAAGATACTTTGAGCTGCTGTGGGGTAGCTGTTGCTCGTCGATCAGTCGAGTTAAACCGAGTTAATCGACTCGACAGTGTTTCAAATGCAAGGACGGTTCGTGCAGTTCATGAGTGTCTGTGAATCCATTCTGTAGGTGAAACATGAAGTCTTTCACTTCGTCTCATATGAATTTAATGCATGTGTTCTTGCAGACGTACCCTCAGGTGCAGGCTTGATGAAGTACTCGTACCAATGTGAGCCTTTATGCTCTGAGCATGCATACTTTGACACAAGAGACAACACCTGCAAACCACGGATAGAGTAAGTAGTCAAACCACAGCCACCATCATAACCAGATAAACCATCACCAGTCAACAGATGTTTTGTGGTCAACAGGTGCAGCGCTTATGGACTCGCTGAACGGTTTCCAGGGAACAAAACACACAACTCAGTTTGCGATAAACCCGGTACGTAAATATGAGGACGCTGTATTGAAAACATGTCTGCACATCGTAGCTGAACAATCTGTGACTTTTCACCAGATATGCGCAGAGACGACGGATCCACGTCTTCTGTGATTCTCGGCGTCGGCTTTGTTTCGCTCTCCGTCGTCCTCCTCCTGTTCCTGTCTTATACCTGCGTGAAGAACCAACGGAAACACACAGAAAGTAAGCAGACCTGAAGAGAAGATGTCAAGTCGACTCATTAGCACGCGCAGGTTTTTGTTTTTCTATCAATCAGTTCATTGTTTCAGTGTCAGCAGACAACAATCAGTGCAACAGAATATGACTGAAAACAAACTGAAATATTCCTAATGATAAATTTCAAGTTTTTTAATGGAGATTGTCACAAATTGACACAAAAATCAACCCCAAAATAAATAGTTT